AGGAATTACAAAACCGAATGCTTTGAAATCTTGGGAATATTTTAAAGTTATTATAAGCATGGTAAACTTTTGTTCAAAATGTATTTGTTCATCCCTCCTAAAAAAATTGATGACGTCACCCTTAAATTTTGCTGAATAAATCCTATCTAAAATGCAAAAAATACGATGAGTTTGTACTTGTGATTTATCATTCCATTCATATTTTTTTGATTTTCTTAAGAGGTGGTTCAAAAAAATTAATGAAGTCAATTTATTTTATTGATTAAATTAAAGGCAACACTTATTATTAGTATTACACCCCAACCAACCCAATTTGGTAGACACAAAATTTGTTAAAGGAAAAACTCGGTTGAAACATAAGGGTAGCACGCTTATTTACATCGACTTTAACATTACAGACCTGCATTTGTTTTATGCGTTCACTTGATTCCGCGAATGTGAAATAGACATGTTTATAATCAACCAATTGTGAATTTCACCGTCAAGAATTAAAATAAAACCCAATGTTTTATATAATAAGCGGAAGTCGAAGCAATAAAACCGACGGTCGTTTTGTTTACAGTTTCTGTGTTTGGCTCTCACGTATGCTGTTACGCCTGTCATCTTAAATTAACAATGTTTATACATACACGATTTTCAGTTGCCTCTGATACGTAGGTATACGTGAGTAAATTGTTTCGTTATTTTATTGATTATTACAAATCTATATTCAAACGACCCAATTCATTTTCCCGAAAATTTGAGAATATAATAATTTTATTCTTAGTATTACACTACATCTATCCCAACTGATATACGTGTCCTTGCAAAAATGTTGATGACGTCATCGCAATTTTTTTTTAAATTCCCACTACAAAAATGTAATGAGAAAAAAAACACAATAGGCATGCAGTCGTCAAGTTTCCGACAGCGAGGGAAGTACTGTCTAAACTCTTTAGACCAATTTTTTTCTAAGTTTGTAATTCTTGTTGCTCTAATCGTTTTATTAACAATCCGGATTCAATTAGTTTCACATGGAATAGGAAATTTAATTTGATTTATAACTTGATAATTCAAATATTTACTCTGTAGAACTGTATTTTAATTTTCAGATTGAAGTTCGAATTAAGTAACTACAACGATCGTAGGTTGGTGGCAGTCATGAAATAGCTGATTGCTGATTATAATTTTATTGCACTGTAAGACAGAAATTTCCAAGCAAGCTTTTTGACTTCTATTTAAATACTTACTTTACTGTATTTGTTCAGCTTTTTCGTAATTATTAATAGTATTCGACTGCTTAAAGAGGCAATGTGGTAGTAGTTTCTGATTAAAGATTTCCAGTGAAATAAAATGAATAAAGTATGTAAGTATGCTCTTTTTTAACAGATTTTTTTTTTTATTAATTTATAGGTGATACAACAACTTGATGACGTTGTGGTTTAATATTTAATATTTCATTATGTAAATGCATGTGTCAACGATAACTTTTTATTTATATTACAAAACAGTATAATCGTCTTTAGCGCCTAGAACAATTACAAACACCTGATTATTTTCACCACTGGCCAATATGTATTACAATTACCTTTATATACTTTAAGTAAGTACTTCGTGGAATTTCAAAGGAAGTTCTTGATGAAGATCTTAATATAACACGACATATGAACGGTCTGCACTTAAATTCGGTTGAATGACTTCATTTAGTATCATTGAACACAGTAGTTGTAAAAAATGGCTTAAATATTTCAGTTTTGATCCTTGTCAACATCTTTCCTTTTTTTTTCAAATTTCCGACAAATGTTTCCTCTCCTGTAGCATAATAAAATATCCTGAAGAAACGCCTAGAGAAACGTTGAAATTCAGTAAAAACTTGTGAATTTATGAGAAATTTGTTACAAGAATGTAATAATAACAAATTAGAATTAAAAAAATTATATTTACTTCAAAATTGTACATAGTAAATGGGTTTTCAATTGTATAAAATAACATAATCCTAAACGTGTACTTTATGACTCCGTGTTGAGTTTTTACCCAAAACGTCCAGATTTTTGGAAAAAAATAAATAAAAAGTTTAAAACGAAATTTTGCTATTTAATTTTGAATCTGCAAAAGCGAATGCTTTGAAATCTTGCGAATGTTTTAAATTCATGGTAAGATTGGTAAGTATAATACATTTTTAATCAAAATACATTTGCGTATCCCCACCAAAAAATTAATGACATCAGCTCAAAATTTTGCCGAATAAATCATATCTAATATGTCCAAAATATGATGAGTCTAGACTTGTGATTTATCATTCCATTCATACTTTTTGGATTTGCTGATACAGAGTGCCTCAAAAAATGTGCAAAATAATGAATGCGTGAATTTATTTTATTGATTTTATCAGGAACTGCAAAACCGAATGCTTTGAAATCTTGGAGATGATTTAAACTTATCATAAGCATAGTAAGTTTTCATCAAAATGTATTTGCTCATCCCCCCTAAAAAATTGATGACGTCAGTTCAAAATATTGCTGAATAAATTCTATCTAAAATGTCCAAAATATGATCAGTCTATACTTCTAATTTATCATCGCATTCATATTTTTTAGATTTTCTTATACAGGTGACTCAAAAAAAATAAATCGGTCAATTTATTTTGATAATTGAATAAGGAACGCCTCCCTCAATTGATACACATGTCCCTGCAAAAATATTGATGACGTCATCACAAAATTGTGTAAAGAAAAAACTCGAAAATGCTGGAAATGTTTCATTGTACTTCAGGAACGCGGAAAGTTCTGTCGAAACAATTTTCGAGCAATTTTTATAAACTTAAGTATTGTTGGTGCCTCTATTAAATTTATAATGTGATTAACACATATTTCAGATAAAAGCAACAGCAAATTTCCAACTTACATGTTCTCGATGGTGTTGCGAATATTCTTTTCTCCTTTTGTTATGACTTCCTTTAGAATTTTCCTTGAATTTCTTTAAGCTTGTACACTAAGAATGTCCCCTCAAAAGAATAAGATGCTTTGTAAAGGAAAGCAAATGTGATGAATTTTAACTCCGCATTTAAATGCAAGGGAAATGAAAAATTTTACCGCTTCTTTGAGAATTACATATAAAATTTTGTTTTGTAATCATTTATTTGTGATAATCTCTATATATTAAAAAATATGTAGATAATATCAATAATAGTGGATGAAATTAAATGACACAATATATTTGTTAGCACCCCATAATTTTTTTGTTTTTGTCTACGACATCAACTTTTTTAAAGTGACACCCTATATATTTTTTAATTCTCGGAGAAAGTATTGTAATAATCGGGTGACTAGTTACTTTTATGTTTTTTTTTTAGACGTTTCATGTCCCGTAGAGTAGGTACGAAAAAAGGACCAACCCCAATAAACTTGATGCCGAAATTAAGTTTACTTAGAGACAAAGTCCTATCTAGAAAACATAAAAAACTAGAAATTTGAAAATTTAATCACCCGTTAAATAAGCTCAAACTTATACCTTGCATGTTTCTTAATGCTAGGTACCTAAAAAAGTTTTATAAAAAATTCTAAATCTCTAATTTTTTATGGAAAGCGAAAACCGAGTTTTCACCAAGAATGAATTGTAAGTATAGTACCGACAGTGACTGTGACTTTTATCTATAAAGTAAACAAACCGATTTTTAAAATCATCGTCTTATCATTTAACTTGGTAGACTACTACATTAAATTGTTGTGATTATGACGCAACGAATTAGATAAGTCGAGAAAGATCACCCACAATAATAAAAATTTAGAAAGTTGTTGACAAATTTGTTGTGTCTGTTGAAAATTAAAAAGGGACAGCTAAAATTTATGCAAAGTTTACAATAGGTGCTCTTATAGTTTGGACCGGAGAGATGAAGGTTTTTGGAAAGAAATTCACAATTGGAAAACAAAATTTTCAATTTAATTTTGAAAATACAAAATCGATTATTCTGATATTGGTAGACGTTTTAAGCTTATCGTAAAAATAGTAAATCGCCAATGAGAATTCATCCTTGAATTCATCCTTTAGTCTCTTGTAAAAGGAAATCTTACAGTTTTTCCTAAGATCTACGAAAGACCTTTTTTGAAATTTTGGTGATATATTCTCAAAATTAAGCTGTAATAAAAGTACATTTTTCTTCTGTTCCTTGATTCATATTAGAATTTGAAAAAATATTCAACACCATATTCAACCCCGAGATGATCTTAATTTATGGAAGAGTGTCAGATTGACACTCTTCCATAAATTAAGACCATCTCGGTGTTGTCATTATTATTATTATTATTAATAATTTACATTTTTTATGTACAAAATGCTCATCATATTTAAGCATTCTTAACTCCGGCATATTTAAAAATTGAAATTTGTCATTCTTCATCGAATGTTTCAGTTAAGCAAATATAAAACCTTGCCAAGTGTTAACGTATTTATACACCGTGCTTAATTTTGGAAATTTATTATCATCTTTTTAGCATTTGGGTGAAGTTTTTCAAGACGTATTTCGAAAAATCAGTATCTTAATTGTTTATGGAAATTTCGGAACGCGGTTAAAAAAGCAAGAGACAACTTGCGTTGGAGTCTGTAAATGTGTGTTTTGATTATTTTAAAACCTAAAAAGGCACTCGTGATCAAAAATAGGCAAAAACAAGTAGGGCCCAAATAAAAGATTTTCACAAATACAAATTTATATATATAAGTAATGTTCATGCATTTGTATCAAACAAAATGAAAAGGCATTTGCCCTAAAATCCGCCCTTTAGTGTGGAAAAAACCCATTTACTCAATTTTATGGATTAGTTAGACCGACTTGTGTACATAAAGTTTATTTTACAACAACATATATGATGAGTAATAAGCAAAACAAAAACTTGCCGGTTATCATGACTTTCATTAATAAAAACATCTCATTATTGCGATAATAGCAAAATGTAGATAATAGGTGTTGCATAACCCTATAAATAGACGAATTATCTTCATTTTTGACCACACAACGGATATATCATTTAATCATTGTTAGTGGGGCTCATAAGATGTTAGCAATAATTCTCCCCTTCTTCGTGATATTTACTTTAGGTAATTAATGTGTGATTTTGCATTTTTTTTTTCAAGCATTTTTTAAGATGTTTCCAGTGGGAAACTCCCCTTGGTGAAGACACCACTGGGGGAGATTCTCGGAGACCACAAAATATCATTCGAAGGTAGAACATTTTCGGCATTCGAAGGCATCCCTTTTGCTAAACCACCAATTGGGGAGCGACGTTTTGAGGTGAGTTATTATTTGTAGATACCGTTGTTAAAATTGGTACTACCAGGAACCCGAACCCGTTGATCCATGGAGTGGTACCTGGAATGCCACCTCCTTATTCCAATGCGCACAGAGTAATTCGATTCAACTTTTCGAAACACCAGGCGACGAAGACTGTCTTTACATTAACGTTTTCGTACCACGTGAGAATCCAAACCCTGACGAAAACTTAGATGTCGTTGTCCACATTCATGGAGGGGCATTCATGTATGGTAGTGGTCACTTCTATTCCCCTCCAACCCTTATAATGGATCGAGAGGTTATATACGTCACTTTTAACTATCGTTTGGGAATTTTGGGTTTTTTGAGTACCGAGGATGATGTAGTGCCCGGAAACAACGGTCTCAAAGACCAAACATTGGCTCTGAAGTGGATTCGAGATAATATAGCTAGTTTTGGCGGAAATCCAAACTCTGTGACAGTTAGTGGGGGATCAGCTGGAGGTTCAAGTGTGCATTTGCACTTCTTTTCTAAGCGTTCGAGAGGTTTGTTCCATCGAGGATTTGCTCAAAGTGGTCTCGCTTTGAACCCATTTTCCATCCAAGAGCAGCCTTTAATGAGGGCTAGGAAACTGGCTGATGCAGTGGGGTGTCCTACGAGTTCCACTCGAGTTATGGTTGATTGTTTGAAGCAAAGACCCTACCAGCACCTTTTCGATAAACTTTCGCTATTTTTTAATTATAAATTTTTGCCGTGCGCGCCTTTTGGTCCTGTTGTTGAAAAAGGCGGCTCAAATCCCTTTTTAGATGAAGATCCGTACCACTTACTGAAGAAAGGAGACGTGTATGACGTACCGTTGCTTGCATCTATGGCAGTCCATGAAGGACTCTTCCCTGTGTCGTGTAAGTAACCCTTCATTCATTACTATCTTCTCTAAGTGAATTTTTCAGTCTTCTTGGAAGACCTAGACAATATAGACGTGAATTGGGAAGAGTGGGCTCCAGCTTTCCTGGAATTCAACTACACGTTATCGTCGTCTTTATGGAAAAGTACTGCTAGAAAAATCAAAGAACATTATCTAGGTGGCGAGCATTTTAATAAAGAAAACCTACTAAAATTGATTCAGATTTTTAGCGATCGGTATTTCCTCAACGATGCAGAAACGGCCGTACGTATGCAAGCAAAAGTGAATAAATCTCCAGTCTATTATTATCTTTTCGGCTATCCTGGAGACAACAACGAGCAGAAACGTATGGTTTTTCATTTGAAGGGTTCATGATTAAATCGTAATTTTGTAGTGGTTGGTCATGGTGCCGACACTAAGTACTTCTTTGGACCAACATTTATACCCACACCTTTAACACCCGACGAAATCAAAATGAAAGACTTGCTTCTGGATATGTTAGTAGCGTTTGCAAAAACTGGGTAAGTAGTACCAACGTGTCTAACTATAATTTATTATGTAGGAATGTTGTAGGAAACCTACTTTGGGTGGTGTAGACTTGAAACCCACGGGTTATGAGGAACTGACATATCTTGAAGTAAATGGTTTCGAACCTGACGAAATTCAGGTGAAAACGACCGACGAACTAATGACTAGTGGAAGCTTTTGGAAATCGTTGAACTTTATGGAGGGCGAAAACCTGATTTCTGCTAAAGATGAACTGTAATTTGACTTTTTGGATTATTTCTCTTGTTATTACATTTTGTAAATGTTTTACGATATTTTTAATAAACACAAAAAATCAACCATGACAAAAATGTACATAAATGCTCGATAAATAACCTCATTAGGTATTCAGACTTTTGTTAATATCGAAAATTTTGACACTTTGTGTAGGATGTACGAGAAAGAACTTTCTCTGTAGATGCACAGAATGTTGTTAGATTACAGGCGAATGTTACAAATTCACCATATTTATCAGACTGTTATTTTTGACACAATAAGAACTCAAATTAAGTATCTAGAAATTATGCTCTTCTGCACTTTCCGTACTTCACGTGCTCTTTTGCCTCACAGTATGGTTCGGAGTCTTTTTCATACATTTGTTGAATTTGTACGCATTAATTTTCTTGGTGTTTCTATTGCTTGTGAAAAAAATCACCGGAAAACCTAAGAGAAATGTTCATCACGTTTTTTTCCACTAATTAAAATGACAAATAGTGAACAAACACATTGCTGTGGCGTTATTGACCCTTTTCCTGTAAGATCGTAAAACTTCCGTAGTGACTTTCCGTGCGCACGCATCTTCAAAATCACGTTGGAAATAGTATCCGGCACTCCGGTAGCAGAGCAAAGGCCTGTGACAACAAACCGCTTTGACAGAATGCAACCGGAAACACATGCGTAATCTGTTCCTCATTGGTTAATTTTAACTGACTTCGCCTGCGCGATGTTGTCTCACTCTGTATCATTGGAATTTATATAATATCTACTCACTTTGCTTACAGGAAAAGGGTCAATTGAAAAAGTGTCAAATATAAAAATATAAACTCACAATATGAAATAAAATGCATGACTGAGTTACCGGATTTATGACGTAAATTACTATTTTGTAATGAGAAACATCATGCTGCTTCATGCTAAATCCATAGCACCCCATGATGTTGGCAAATTGCGGAACAGATTAATCTAGTCTAAAATATATAGTTCTTTACTACAAAAGTATTTAGAATGTCTCCAGACCGAATCTCTTGACCTGTGGTTGTTCACCGGAACGAAATGTTTCACATTTTCAACTTATTCAAGACAGTTGACCTCCAAATGTAATGGGTTCAGTGTTTTTGCCGATATTTACAATGTTGTTATTGTTGGCTCCCTATTGTTAACAGGAACAAATAAACACATATTTTAACAGCGAATTTTACAATTTAATTCATTTTTTATATTGTTTATTGTAGTTAATGTAACAATGAAGCAAAGAGAGAGATACAATAATGTATTGCAAAAAAATCCCGGAACAATTTTAAAAAATCTGTTAAATTTTCCCAAATATGTTGAAGCACTTGAAAATTTTGAAGGATCGTGTTTGCTTCCGAATATTTTCGGAGACCGATTTTACCAGTTGGTATACGTTTACAGTTTTCGTGAAACATAAAAAATGTACGCAATTTTAGTTCGTCCAAAATATGAGAAGTGCGTCATTGGATCTCACGATGCCGTTACCTGCTTTTCAAATCCATCTTCCATTCTCGTCCACACACTTCTCTTTTTTGGAAAATTTGTCACGGTTGTAAATACAAAACTGGTATCTTCTTATTTTAAAATTCTGGCTATTTTGTTCGTTTAACATCACGTTTCGCTCGTCCATCAATTTAACACCCAACTTTTTTGTTCTGCACATAGCAGCGTCAAATCTTTTTCGTCTCTTCTTTCGCCATGGTCGATTTTGTTAATTCGGCAGTGCCGTTTCCGCGTAATAGTCCGTCGATTAAGTTGAAAGTCGGCGTGAAGCGAACTATAATTGCTAGAATTAAAAGTTTAACGTTTAAATTAAGAATATTGCCGTACCTCAGTGCCGTCACAATAAGAACGCCGCCGCCGCCTTCCCCACAGAGAGATATTACTGCCGACAGGTGGCGCACCCGCGGCAGATTGCTTCTCTCCTGGAGGGCATTTTATTGTAATATTTACTTATTTGTGCGTCACATTGTGTCTGCAGAAGCGTAAAAAACCAAGTCTGTGTAATTGTGTGGTGTAATTAAGACCTTAGGGGGTCGCCTCGGCGGAATGGTGATATCCTTTGTCGTGTTTGCCTTGATGACTTAAAACCGTTTCGGTGCATTTATTCCGACGCTCCTTTTGTTGGTTCTGTTGTGATCTCTTCCGCTCAGAGGGTTCCTCTATTCCGCGCCCAGTTTTTAATTTCGATGAAATTCCGACTCGCCGAATCGATTCGGATTTTATTGTGACATCGCGTTACTTAATGAACGAAGAAATCCGCCAGCGGGTCGGCGACTGTGGTTACGACGATTTGCATTTTTTTTAACTGTTTCTATATTTGATTGCGGCGAGGTTTTTTAAATTGCACCATATTGTTCGGTGGTACAGTTATGAAATGACAATTATCCGAAAACCATTGGAAAAAATCGCGATTTTCAGGAGCGTGGACATTCTCCTGATTCAGCGATGAAAAGAAAAAATAAAGTACCGTAGCGTGTAACTGTAGTAACATAGAACACGATAACTTAGTGTATTGTGTTAAACAATAACGAAAACTTAAAAGTAATATCGTGGCTTTTGAAAAGTCAAACAGCTCTCTATTAGCGAGCTGTGAGAAATTGGCTTTCACGATTGAGTACGTACTTTTGGAAAAGTTCCATTTTTTATTGCGTCACAACAACCCTTATATATAAGCAGATATTAAAATTAATAGCTGGCTTGCTCCAACTATTATTCATCTTTCACTTCTGACTCGTAAAAGAGAGGCATTGTTTTTCATATGTGCCTCCATTTTTACTGGAAATATGTTTGAAATCGCTCTTCTAGCTTCATCATCATAACTGCTGGAAGGAAGCCAAGCTGGAATATCGAAAGTTACCCGTTTTTTATTGCCATAAATTTCAAATAAAATTATATTCTTTTATGAATTTTGCACTTTGGAAAAAAAGATGTTCAACAAGCCAATAAATTCTCTTTTTGTAACCGTTAACAGTTAAAAACAGATTTCACTATAACAGTTCTCCAATTTTACATTTTCAAGTTTTCACGACTCATAAAATACCAAAATGTTAGTTTGCTTTCCCATCATTCTGTCTATCCGTTACCCATCTGTTGGAAATTTATTGCAAAATTAGGGAAACACTTTCTACGGACGTGAAGTAAGGAAGATTGTAACAGGAACCATTTGATAAGTGGGTAATTTCATGTTTTCTCCACGTTTTATTAAACTTATAATCTCTGAAATTACTGAACTAATTGCTGGCATTTACTATCGTGTACATGGTAAAATTCTAATCAAAATTTATTCATCATCTCCACCAACACAGTAATGAACTAATGACAACAGCTTCACGTTTTTCTTAGGGAACTCCATTTAAATTTAAATAATGTACCTCTATCCGCGTGGTTTATGAATCCGCCTCCACTTGGTTTATTATTGTTATAATTTTTATTGTTTATATATTCTTCTTCTTTAGTCGCCTAATAAGTATTAAGGTATAAACATAAACAGTCGAAGTTAAGCATGTACTGCGAAATTGAGAATACATTTTTTCCCGTTGGTTATCTACTTTAAATATATTTTATATTTGGTGTGTTGGACTGTATTTCAGGACAGAGAGAAGTTCTGTCGAAATAACCTTCGACCATTTTTTTTATAATATAAGCATTAGCATAAGAATATAAAAATATTTTAATCAACTTTCATAATGTAGATACCTGTGGTGGAACAATGCAGCGTGGAAAGTGCAGAAAGATACTGACGACAGCTGATGGTCTAGTGGTTATAATACCCACCCGGCTAGTGGAAGACGTGCGTTCGAACTCCACTCAGGCCGTGACATTTTTCCTCATTTCATTTCCACATATCTAATAAACTGGATTTATTTAGTTGTACTTCATGTCCATTTCCAAACAATTTTATACCATTTTTTTTTTAATTTAGTGAACATTTCCATACTCATAATAAATATAGTAATAACTCCATATAATTTAAATACCATACAAAAAGTTGTTCAAGCACTACATACCTAGCAAATCTGTTGTAAAAGTGATTATAATAAAAAAAAATTAATGACGCGCTGAAAGTTAAGGCTGAGATATCGCAAATCAGTATCGCAGGTCATTTATTTTTTCGTATATACACGGAAGATTTTGGCCATGTTAGTTTAACGAGAGCTAAAAATTTAACAGCTAACAACGACACTAACTGTTATAACAAAAAAGCAACTGACGTATTATTCAACACTGATAACGACTCTGACATTCGACCACATTTCACAGGATTTTCTTTTTTTATCGAATGCGTTAAAAGAGTTAAAATTGACTTAGATTTTCATAAACTAGTGTAACCACATAAAATGTTTACCACACAATCTAGACCTACTACTTTTTAAAACTCAGTTTATTAAAAAAATTGGTCAGAACCTCCCTTGCTCTTAAAGTACAGTGGAACAAATACCGCTTTTTTGAAAAATTATGAAATTATAAAATAAGCTATATGTGGACTGTTAGAGTGCATATAAAGAAGCATGTTTTGCGTATGTTTTAAGTAGTTTATAATTTGGATAGGGGCAGTGTAGTAGTGGTAGTAGTAACAATAGTACTGTGTAGTGTCAAATCTTCGGGAAAATGGGATGAGCCGTTCTTGATTTGATCAGTAAAATAGATTGCCTCATTCATTAATTTTTTGACTCACCCTGTATAAGTGGTTCTAAAAAATACGAATGCAATGATAGCCACAAGTATGGAATCACCATATTTTGCATATTTTAGGAAGGATTTATTTAGCAAAATTTTGAGAGGATGTCAATTTATCGTGCTTATCATAACATTAAAATGTTTGCAAGATTTCAGATCATTCGATTCTTTATTGTCAAAAGAATCGAATGATCTCGAAATCTTAAAATAAATAAAATTTGACAAGAATCAGTCCAATAGTTTCTGAGATTATATCTCTAATAATAATAGACATAGACGGCGGAGAGACAGACAGACAAACGGAAATGGGAGACCTATTGTTTCGTACTCTAGGGACCATGAAACGCCGAGAAAACATAAAAGCAAGCAAAAGTCGTCCGA